CTCTTGGTGTCGCGACTTTGGCAGTGGCTGGATCTGGAAGGTTTTTGGGTCATGGTGGGGACAAGATGTTGACGCGACGGCGCTCCAAGCGGGAGGTGGCGGCAGCGACCGGGGGGCGTGTTGGAGATCCCGCCAGCAAGGTCTCCCATACCGATGGGGCATCTTCGGTGTGCGCCACCGGTGGCTCTGATGCTGAGGTTGCGAGCGATGCGGACACCGAAATCGACCCGCTCGAAGCTGAGGCAGAGCAAAGGCAGGAACAAGAGGAAACGTGGGCCATGCTGCAGCTTGGGCATGCGCGTCAATGCTATCACGATATGGGCATTACAAAGCTCTACCCGTGGCAGTGTCATTGCCTTCGAGAGCTCAGGGCCGGCCATAACCTGCTATACTCGGTGCCCACCAGTGGCGGGAAAACGCTTGTGGCGGAGCTCTGGGCACTGCACAACGTACTTGTGCGTCGCCGTGATGTCCTATTCATGGTGCCTTATGTTTCGCTCGTACATGAACGCGCCATGGCCCTTGAGCAACTGGCCCTCCGTTTGCAGCGTGACGAGCGCCCACCCTTTTGCGTCGAACTCTATGCGGGGGCTGCGGGGAAAGTGCCACCCCTCAATCGCCGCGAGCGCCGTTCCATTTTTGTGGCTACATACGAAAAGGCCACCGCTCTTTTAAGCTTTTGCATTCAGGACAGGTCTATAAACCGGTTCGGCCTGGTCGTTGTCGACGAGGTCCACATGATTGGTGCAGCTGGCCATCGTGGCGCCAGCCTCGAGGTATCTCTGTCCATCTTGGCAGCCCTGGCTCCCACGACGCGGCTGCAGTTGACGGCCATGTCTGCCACCATCAGCAACGCCAGCCAGCTTGCTCGGTTTTTGCGTGCTAAGCTTCACCAAGATGTCACACGACCCGTTGACCTTCATGAGCACGTCGTGGTGGACGGTGTCATCACACCTCTCGCGCAATTTATTCAAGTTCCCGCAGCTACCACGCAGTGCCTTGGGCGGCGCATCATACCACGTAGCCCACAAGCAGGTGGGTTGTAATGCTGTGCGTGTTTTACTCTTTCAAGCCCGGTGTTTGTTATGCTGCTTTTTATTTCTTGTGCTGCTCCACTTGCCTTGTCTCACGGCCCCTTGACACGGACCTACTCACACTTGCTTTGCTATACACAGGCGTTCGGGAATCACGCCATAGTGAAGATGTGCAAACGATTGCTTCCTTGATGAGGCGACACGAGGGCCAGACCTTGGTGTTTTTGCGCACGCGGCGGGGCTGCGAAGCCATGGCCCAGCAGGTGGCTCAGCTGCAGTGTCAGGATGCCAGCCTGCCGCTGCAGCCCAGCCCCGCGTGTGCGCAGCTTTTCTTGGATGAAGAAGTGACGTTTGATGCTCGCATCCCTTTACACGCCCTATTGGTACAACGACTTGCTTTTCATCATGCTGGGCTGAGCCTTGAAGATCGGGCACTTGTCGAGGCAGCCTATCGCCGCAATCTTGTGGATGCGCTATTCTGCACCACCACGCTCGCCGCAGGTGTCAACCTCCCGGCTCGCACTGTAATCCTAAAGGATTTGCAAACCGGCATGCGCCGAGTTACCAAGGGTGATTATCAGCAAATGATTGGACGAGCCGGACGGACTGGCCTTGCCCAAGCCGGCGATGCGTACCTCATTCTCTCCGCAACGCAGGTGCGAACCAGATCTGGCTTGCCACCACACTCCTCGCTCATGGTCTTTCACATCTTTTCGATTGATTGGCATGGCTTCAGCACTGTCATGCATGATTGACTCTGACTCTCTGCTCACAGGAGGAATATGCCCGAGCCATTTTGAGCGAAAGCCTGCCTCCGTGTACCAGTCAACTTTCCGCCTTTCCCGACGAGATGCGGTGGGTGGCCTCAAACGTCGGCCAAGGAGCGCGCAGCTCCCTTTGAATGTGATGTTTACATCACCTTGTTTGCGGTGCTATTTCAGGCGCCTGATTCTGCATCTCGTGTGCACTGAACTGGTGGATGACGTTGATCACCTGCATGGTATGCTCTTGCTCCGTCAAATGACGCAGTGGATGAGCACGGGATGCCTGCAGATCTGCCGCAGGAATCACTTTTGTTTTTGATGTAACATCTTGACGTCGTTTGGCAATTTTTTTAGCTGTCTTTAGAGAAACGCTCTATGGCTTGCAAACATCAGATCCGCTCGCTGTTCGGCAACAAGTGTCGGCTCTCTTGGCTGGGTTGATCAAAGATCAATTGGTGAACCGTCGCCAACAGCATGTAAGCAATGTGTTCAATTGCTTTCTGGGTACTCTTTCTTCGAGCAAGTCGTGGTGACCGATGTCTTCGATTACTCATCTTCTTCGATGTGGTCTGTATAGATTCAATCCACCGAGCTTGGCCTCGCAGCTTTTCACAGCAACCTGGAGCCTTCACAGATACCGTCAATTGTTCAGTACGTCGACAGTTGTGATGCTGCAAAACGTGCCTCATTCCTGCTGGAATTGGCAGTTGATACCTTTCTTACTGGTTGCCGATGACACAAATGCGGTCTTGCCTTTCAGGCTGCTGGAGCGCGCGCTGAGTGGCCTGGTGCTGAGCGGATATTTGCACATGTTCTACATCATGGTACCACCTGAGCGGGTGGTCTCTTTATTGCCGCAGTGGGCTGCCTTCCGTCCTATGGTACGGGTTTTGGCTCGATATCACTCACGCGTAGCTGGTCTCGGGACGAGCATCATCGTGTTTGGACTTTTGTTCTGGCAGCCCAGTATCAACATCAGTTGATTTGTGACGCCCTTTGTTTAGTTGCATCGTGTACCGACGGCCGAGCGGTGCGCCGTGATGGCCGCTGTGAAAGTATCGGAGCGGTTTGTGGAATGCTGTGACTTTGATCTCACGGTCTTTGATCGTCGCCTCGCAACGAGTACGTGCATTGGCTATTCCATGAGTGAACGGATACCACCGACCCAAAGGGCGCTCGCTTGTTTTTTTGATGTGCGTTGTGTCGCATGTATGTAGCGACTGATTTGGCCGATGCATTTGTCAACGAGGAGACCATGCGAGCCCGCCGCTTGTATGTGGCAGCTACCATTTGGCAGGTTGTTGTTGGCAACGAGTCGCCAAGAAAGGTATGGTTGCTGGGTGGAAGTTGCCAGTTGCTCGCCCTACAGCAGATTCTCGCTCTGATCTGTCTGATGTTCGGGTTGGCATCTTCTGGCTGTTTTGCGTTCACACATTGCCCAGGTCGCGGCCATGATTTCGTCGCATGGGTATCGTTTAGGTAAGGTAACATCATTTCATGCCCTCTGCGCACGTTTGGCGTTTGTCCGTTGTTCAGTAACCCAATGGCTCCTGGTTCTGTTCGGACTGCACAGATACGGGGTATTTGCAGGACCTTTTACACACCACTGCGACCTTTTGTCGATGCCTTCAGCGATTCTGTCAAAACTGGAAGGTGGGCTCCAGCTGCTGGAGAGCATGAATGTTTGACTAGTCAGCTCATGAGCGATCCCTCTGGCTGGGCTTTTGTTGCTAGCTATTCTGGGCGTTTGACCGACTTTTCGAGCACCTGATCGCGCCCCTGCAACTGTGCACGGCGCAAGAACTTGTTGTCTTTATGCAGCTGCCCGGCATCAAGCGCGCACGAGCTCAACAACTGAGGCGCGCCAACATCAAAAGGTGAGTTTTGACCGCCACGATCAAAAGGAGACCGACACCCAGAATGCTTCAGAGTTGTCTTTGTGAGCCTTTCTCTTCAGCTGCGGGCTGGTACCTCATGATGCCGCCAAATCAGTCTACAACAGCTGGTGCGAATGCCCGAGGAGGAACTCCAGCATCATCTTCAACCCATTTCGGCATCGGCTGTTGTGCGACTTAAGACTGAGGCAGCTCGATTGTTGCTTCGAGAGGCGGAGGATGAGCTCGACGATCGGCGTGCTGCTGTTCAGGACACACTACAAAGGTTTGGGCCCACGCAGCATATTCTGTGAAGCTGACCCAGCTCAGGCTGCGTTGACAAGTCTGATTCGTCTCTAGTATAAATTTTGAAGGAAGCCATTTGAAAGAGTAAACAAGGAAGATAGTGGAAGAAAGGTGTACGTTCGGCAACTCTGGCCATCAAGTTTTCAACTTGCCAACTTGTAAATGAAAAGTTAATAAATTGACCAGCATAACACGACTTTTGCTACTGCATGGCGGTCATGCACGCAGCAGTTGCTGGAACCGGGGGCGGCTGAAGATACTTTTGACCATAAACTGGGCCATGATCTGGCTGTGAAGGACGACAAATCCGTGATTGATGCCCTAAGGTTCGACCACGCAGACCGCCACGTACAAGCAGCTCTGTGAATATTCGCGTGGGCCATGCTCGGCACTCGAGACTCCTCGTTCATTCAAGGCGACCAACCAGGGTGTCGTGCATGATGGTGCTGGCAGGGCAGGCTTCCTCAATATCTTGCACGTGAGAGGTCGTCACCCAGCCATCCGTTTGAGCAAAATACCAGGTCAAACTCTCCTCCACAGGTTTGGTCAGGCTAAGATCAAAGTCACGCAGCCCTTCCATCTCGGTGTAGCCCATGTACAAGCAGTTGCCACCAACTTTGGCCGGCATCAGCGATAGCGCAGCGGCCACCATGTCCAAACCCGTCTGTGATGCGTTTGTATCATGAGCGACAGCCAGCATCAGATTGACGATGAGACGATGCAACAAACAAGCGCGAGCATGGCAAGAATGTAGTAGCAAAACTGTACAAACGTCGTGTCCCATGACTTTTTGGCTGAGGGTCCACTGCCAGGCCGTGGGCAAACGACCTAGAAGCTCAGCCACCTGGACAACCCAACGCCGTCCATAGCGAAGGATGGGATACAGCTGCTGCCCGCGGGGTGTCGTGCCTATTGCAGGTTGCCTGTCAGAGCTGGGCAGGTTGAACAGCTCCTGGTCATGAGCTAGACAAACCAATGTGGAAAACAGTGGGGCACAGAAGCTGTTGGCCAACCACGGCGGTAGGGCCGAGGGTCTTGGCGACGCGAAGTGCGATGTAGGCACCTGTCGGCGATGATCAGGTGAGGAGGTGGGAAGTCGCAAACTGAATCTACGCCCTCGGCGACGAGACTAGCAGTGCCCGCAGCGATTGCAAGCAGTGGGCGCACCGATCGAATGTCCAGTCAAAGTGTATCGAGGCTGACAGCCCCAGTGTGCTTCCAAAGCTCTGAGAATCAGCAGTTTATGATCGATCTGATCCTCAAAGCTGAAGGGCGTGGCGCAACTGTTGAAACCAACGAGAATCAGGCAAATCGGAGGTGCTGGGCAGAAGCGCATGTTTCGAAATCCAGGGGCAAGCCAAGCGTGCCACGATACCTGCTAGAGTGGGAATGGCCTGAATGCCCAATCACGACGGTGGGCATGCCTGATTGTTTGGCCAACTCAGAGGCCATGGCGTGATAAAACCTCACATTGCCTGAGCCAGTTTGGTTCGGTGAGTGCCGTTGCATGAACTGAACATGCAACACATTCCAAAAGAACCAAAGAGGGGTGGAGTACCTGGATTGCCTGGAAATATGACGTGGGTTAGCTGACCGTCGCGGCTTGGTGGCCCGTTGATCGTGAGCACGTCGGCAGCAAGGAACGGCCGTGACAGTGGCAAACGCAGGGTCTGCAAATCGGACCAATCTGCAGACACAATGGCCGAGGTAACACGACACACGCGTGTAGGCAGTCGCGTTGCGTCAGGTCAGCAAGCAGTGTTTGCGCACGGTGCACGGTCAAAGCCTCGTATCCAACGCACCCATGGCCGCGTCTACGTTGGGAATCGACGAGCGACTGACGAGACCTGCCAGGCGGTTGGCGCTCCAAAAGGCGAGCTCAAGCACCCCAAACACCGTCGCATAAATGCCACGCAGCAGCAGATTGGGCACGAAGCGCGGTGCACCCAGCACTCGCTCCACACGCCAGCCAGCCATCTTGTTCCGTTCTGTGACACCACCTGCCCCAGCCAGCCGGACTGCCGTTCGTTCGCTCTCCACGTGCCGATCAAGCAAAGTCAGAGAATTTTTATCTGACAATTGTTGTTTTCTGTGACAAGTCATGTTGATGTTTTGCTTTCATTTTGTGTCAAATGTCAAGCAACTGGACACTTTGCATTAATTTTTAATGTGTGTGTGTGGGGAGGGGAGACGCTGAAGATCGTTTGGGCTTTGGCGGGCTGGGGTGGTACAGCAGGCATGGCTGGGTTGCTGGCAGGGCGGCGGCTTGCCTTTGTCGTACAGACAAGGCGAGGCGTTTTGGTTGCGCAAAGGATGCTGCTTGTTGTCTTGATTTTTGTTGGTGGTACCCGAGCAGAGGCGAATCCTGAGGTGAGGGCGGTGAGTTGATCGCTTTTGGTCAGATCGGATCTGCTAGCCTTGGTATCTGCAAAATTGCTCCTGTATCTTAACCCTTGCCATCTGTCTACGCTCTGATGCTCTGTTTGTAGCCGCCTCTGCTTTGGACTGTGGGTGTGGGGCGCACCATCGCGCTGCCGTCAACCCTGCCACTGGCTGGCTTGCACTTGTTGTATCAGCCTGCTGGCTCAACGGCGAATCTGACCACGGCCTCGGGCAAACAGGGCCCGGCGCTGCTGACTACTGATCGAGTTGGCGACTATGTGGTTGCCAACGCCACCAATGCCCTCTTACGGGTACGCGCCGTGAATACAACGGGCTACCTCCATGATCGGTTCACTATGATCGCCGATTCTGCCAGCAACTTTGGCCGCCTAGATCCCCGCTCTCGTCCACAGGGAGCGGGTGACGAGATCTACAATCTGTGGTCTGTCACAGGCCCCTCCAACAGTGAGAGCATGTGCACTGCCATGGGCTCGCGCGGTGCGCAGCGTGGCATTCTCTATGGCACCACTACAGGCTGTGATCCAACGGGCAACCCCAACCTTTGTTGTGGCCTGCGCGCAGACCACAACTTTAGCTTTTTTCGCGAACCCGTGCGTCTCGAGGTTCAGCATGTGCAGCTCTTGAATCATTCAGGCCAGCACGATCGCATTCAGCTGGCCATGATCAACCCCTACCCTCTTGATATTGTAGAGCCAGCTTTTCAGCCTGAAGGCCTAGCCGTCGAGGTTGGCGTGGCTGGCCCAGCGGGTGGTATCACCTTGGCTTTGGTGGCTTTGACCGCTCAGCGTCGCCAAGTAGTTAGTCAGGGCCAAACTGAAGCTTGTAATCTCAACGCTCCGGGCGGCGTGCGTGTCATCATGGACGCCAACGCGACAGTCGCAAGTGTCACCGTCGCCTGCAACGATGGCAAAGGCCATTTGCAACTACCGCCCGCTGCCCACCAACTAAGCTGGGCCAGCTTCGCTGCTCCGCCCACAACACGATATGATGGCGACCTTTACTTTCACGTGCGCCTGCTAGCATCAGCAGCCGGTGCTGCCGCACAATTGGGCCAAATTAATCTGACCTCTCAGATTGGAGAACATGGGTTTCCCGCCGTCCTGGCGCCCATTGCTGACGCGTCATCGGTCCGTCCCTTAGCCCTGGGTGCACTTCAGCCCCGTGTGGCAGAGTTTGGAGTGCTTGATCTGGCAGCTGAACCCTTCAATGCAGATGGCACGGGCCACACCGACTCGGCTGCTCTTCTTTCGGCCGGGCTGGCATTTGCCCATGCGCATTACCTCCAGGCCTTCTTACCCGCCGGCGTCTACCGCGTCGAGGCTACGGTCACTTGCGTACAGTGGTCCCGGCTTAGCCTTTCAGGTTATGTGGATGCGACGGGCTGGATTCAAAACTCAAACGCTCGGGAAATGCCCTGTCTATTGCGTGGCGAGGACAATGGCACAAACCGCACCCGCTTGGTCGTGCCACCCACCACCCCGTTCTTTCAGAACACGACCCATGTGCGTCCAGTCGTGTCGTTCTGGAGCCAGGCATGGTTTGTGCATCAGCCCAAACGACAACCCAACATCCACTACAACCAGGTCATAGAGACACTGGATATTGAAGTAGGTCCAGGTAACCCGGCAGCAGTGGCGATCGATAATCGTGGCGCTCAGGGCGCCGCGACGGAGGACGTCAACTTGTTTCTTGCCGATGACACTTATGGGGGCCTTTTTGGCCTCTCTGGCTCTGGTGGTGCCAACACCAATGTCACCGTGTATGGGGGCAAGTATGGCTTGGATGGGCGGCTAGCCCAGCCCGGTCCTTCCGTGTCCGGCATGAACTTGATTGGTCAGCGGTGTGCCAGCATCATCTACTCGGGGCTGCAGGCTCTTTCGATGGCAGCCATGCGCTTTGCTCCTGCCAATGACTCCGTCCCTGCCATTGTGGCAGGCTGCCCGCTACCTCCTCTACTTCCTGGCTGCGACCTGTTGGATCTGGAGGACACGGAGCAAGAGTGCTCCGTGCCCACCTCGGGCCAGCTGGGGATTGTCGACTCGCTCTTTGAAAATGCGCCCCCGACAATGCCAGCCACGCCTGCATCGAATTTGCACAGAAAGCGTGTCCACAGTCTCGCCTCATCGTCGGCCTACATTCAAGCCATGGCAAGCGTTTTTCTCAAGAATGTTTGGGTTGCAGATCGGACAGCGCTGCTCCAACCTATCCGAGATGTTGATTCACAGGTAGCTACTGTGCCTTCGCTACCAGTACGCGTGAGGTTGCTAGTCGAGGGTCAAAACCTGGCCCCGCTTGTGGCTGCCAACGTGACATACCAGTACAATGCCACAGTGCACTACAACCACACCGTATACGGGCCCAGCCAGCGCATCTTGGAGGTCATACCCGTTCAACCTGGCGACATGCCCACATTTGACGCGTTGATGCAAGTGCACGGTTACGGGCCAGCGGTCATGTATCCTTCGTGGCTGCAGACCACGGCCGTCAACGTTCGGGCAGCTCCCTTTGAAGCGCGTGGCGATGGACTTGCAGATGACACCGCGGCTCTGCAACAGGCCATCGACTACGCTGCGTCCCACGGTCCATTGCCCGTCGTCTTGCCACGAGGCATTTACAACATTTCTCGTCAACTGACGCTGCCGTGCGGTGTACAATTTGTGGGCGTGGCACACACTTTGTCACATCTGGTGTCCAGTGCTGTGGCAGGGGGCTGGCACGTGCAGCCAACAGATGATGCAATGCTACGGGCGCTCCCATGTGGCGCGGATGGTGCTGCTCGATTAGCCGGCCGATTTCTGGGCACGGTAATTTCTCATGTGGGCTTGCACCCATTGCCTCGCTTTCCCGCCACGTCGCAAGCCATTTTATTTGATGCAGAGCAGGTCATCGGCTGGACCGGGCACCACGTGATGCGTCAAACCTTTGTGCGGGGTACAACGGTGTGTGGAGCGGTAGCATCACCAGTGTGCGATGCGTATGCGGCGGCCAGTCAGTCAAACTCTCCGTCAGTGCTGATCCGTGGCGCCATCAACCAGTACATTCAGATTGGTGATGGGATGGGAGATAACCTGCCCCGCCACCGACACTGGGCTGTCGCAAACAGCTCGGGCCCCGTGCGCGTGTACCACTTGAACGCCGAGCATACCTCGTCTGAAACCAACAGCGAGGTGTGTGAACATGGGGCAACGAGAGCGGGGTATCGTCTGCACAAGCCTTGATCGTGGTCGTCATTGTTGTGCTTGCTTCTCACTGCCTTGATCTGGTGGGCTGCTGCAGATACACAACAGCTCCAACGTGCTGGTGGTGGGCATCAAGTGTGAGGGCGGGTTTCCGGCCCTGTGGGTTTCAGACTCTCAGAATGTCACCTTGACGGGGGCCGGGGGCAACAACGCGGCCTACTTTGCCAACTCTTCATATCCCCCGGGGTTCCGGCAGTTTGTGCCCTCGCTCTTTCGCGTCACACAAAGCCAGAACTACTATCTGGCCAACCTGGTCGACTATGGCTTTGTCACACATGACTACGTGCACACGCATACCCGTAAGTCGTTGTCGGTGTTCGCTGTACCTGGATGGGTAGAGGGGCTGGCTGGCCGACACTGATCTGCTTCTTCTTCCCAAACCACGTTGCTAACTCAACAGCCGCAGATGCTCGCTACTGGGACATGGCGCTGGTTTGCAGCTCGGCTGACAACAGCTCCTGCGTGCCGACGGCCAAGCTTGAGCGCCCCGCCCTTCTGTCAGGCTAAACCCAATCAGTACCCCGCACGTTATGCTCGATGTGGGTGAGTAAAGGTGCCGCTTGCCACCCTTGTTTTCAAAGAGCGCTGCACCGCGGTCCGAGTGCCAGCTTGTCAATCCTCCCATAGCAAGCATGCCTCATAGTAGCAGCCGTCGTAGTACATGTACTAGTAGTACAGTTGAACACTTGGAGCTCACTCACCATCACACTAGCACTTTGACAGCGCCACACCTTGACTCACCTTTCACCTGGAAAGACACACACACACACCCACACTATCACACACAACTTGTGTGGCACACGTAACCTGAAGCCCACACACACACACACACACACACACACACACACACACACACACACATTTTCTTCTTTTGTCTCTCTCTCTCTCTCTTTGATTTTTTTTGAAAAAAAATCTTTTGTCTCTTTTTGGCGGTCGGAGGTTGACGACGGCGGTGTGCTGGGAGACAGTGGTCCCTAATCGGGTTGAGCGGTCCCAGGGTTACTCATTGAAGCTGTGACCAGACAGGATGGGTTTGGTGGCCAGCTGTTTTGGCGGGCTTGCCGCTTATGCCGCCGAGTCGGTAGGTGGTGGTGGTGTGTGATGTCGTCACAACGTTTTGGACTCCGCCATTGATCCGTGCGCAAGCACACGCAGACTCGCGCACCCGATGGCTTGTAGGCATATACAGCTCACGTTGGCCCTCTCGCTTATCCCATAGGTTGCCTGCTGCTGTGGCTCGGCAGCTTGCTCGCTCTGCTGCCGCAGCTGTCCGTCTTGCACCAACTCGACATCGACGCGTATTACTTACGCCATTCTCTTCTTTCTGTCGTCCATCGCGGCTTGGATCATGCTGGACAAGGACGTTAGCAAGGGTCTGATGAAGGTTTGTTGTTACCATTCAACCCTGTTTCGTCTTGTCCTGTTCACTGTTGACGCTGCCTGCTGAGAGTTGTGGCCGACACGCCACGAGTCCATGCTTCGTCACTTTTGACCCTTCATTTCCATGGCGTTGGCATTTCTTTGGTCTTTAGATGGATGATTACGTCGGCAAAGCAGCCTGCAATCAAGACGACGACCAATGTCGTGCGTAATTGCCCTCGAAACAACCGAAACTCGTCCCAACACATGCTGAGCCATGTGTGATGTGCCCCTAATGCGCTCACTGTATGCGAACCCATCTGTGCGTTCCCAGGCCGAGCTTGGGGCGAGCTGGGCGTGATGCGCATCATGTTTAGCGTGTGCCTCTTCCATCTCTTCCTGTCCCTCTGCACCATCGGTGTCTCGTCATCCAAGGATCCTCGCTCTTCTCTGCACAACGGAATGTGGTTTATCAAGTTGATTCTACTTGTTGGTGCCATGGTGGGCTCTTTCTTCATTAGCAACTCTTTCTTCATTGGTGCGTGTCCCGGCTCGGTCTGAGCTCACTTCTTGCTTGGTTTTGCCCCTGAATCTGCCCTCACCTCACCGGGCTTTGTGTTTGCTCTCGTATCTGCTATCGTGTCGGTCTTGGGTACACGTTCAGCCTGGTCCTGGATTGGCCTCGTCGGCGCCGTTCTCTTCATGATCGTTCAGTTTATCCTTCTTGTGGATTTTGCCTACTCGTGGAATGACTCGTGGGTCGGCAAGCTTGAAGAAGGATCCAAATGTGCTGGTTTTGGTTCGTATCGTGCCCAGTTTGTCACTCGACTGGACTGCCACGGCGGCCGCGCCATACTGTCTTTGGAATTTGCACACTAACAACCACTCATCTTGCTCTTGCACTTGATAGGGCTCATCTCGGCCACGGTGATGTTGATGGCTTTTGTTATTACTTTGACGGTGCTCATGTTTCACTTTTATACCAACGTACGTTTCAATTGTAATGCTATGAGGGTCTTCGACTTTTTTTTTTTTTTTTTTTTTCTTTCATATTTTGGCTTGACTTGATTTGCGCCTGCGCGAAAAGTTGCCCAACCCTGATGTCTCGTTTAAACCTTGCTCTCACTTTTTTTCTGGTTCTGGTCCCCCGATCGGACTGCCACTCAAACATAGGGTGACTGCAAGCTGAGCAACTTTTTCATCGGCTTTAATCTAGCGCTGGCACTGCTGGTGACGTTGACTTCCATGCTCCCCTCGGTCCGCGAAGCATTGCCTTCCTCTGGCATTCTGCAGTCCAGCGTTGTTGCTGCCTACGCCACCTATCTTGTGTGGTCTGCCGTGTCTGGTGTTCCCAGTACGTGTCACCCACTGATTGCTGTGGCCCCTCGTCGATTCTCGTTCTGTTCAATGCTAAAGTTTTCCTGAGCTCACGTGGATTCCTCCCTCCCCTTCCCTACGTTGCTTTGAAACCAGCCGAGTGCGGCGGCGATGCTGGTACAAACACGGCTGCCATTGTTATCGGTGCTCTCTTGACATTTATTTCAGTGGCCTACTCCTCGATCCGCACGAGCTCCAAGTCGCAGTTGGGCAAGCTCGGCCTTCAGCAGGGCAGCAATGAGAACATCTACTTGATGGACGACAAGGCGGCTGACTTTGACGAGGACGACGAAGATCGTCGTTTGCAGCGCGTCGTGGACAACGAGCAGGACGCTGTCCGGTACAGCTGGTCTTTCTTCCACTTGACTTTTGCCGTTGCCGCTCTCTACCTTATGATGGTCCTGACCGAGTGGTCCACATTCAAGTGAGTTTTCACGAGGTGTCACATGATCAAGGTCTCGGTGGCGTTGATGGTTCATGCGGCCCGCCTGACTGTTGCCTGCATTTTGCTTTCGTCTGATCGTCTGACTCACAACTGCTACCCCTAATAGGGATTCGTCCGACGCAGATGTTCGTATCGGCAAGGGCTGGGCCTCGGTTTGGGTGCAGGTCGTGAGCTCCTGGGTCATCTTTTTGCTTTACGGCTGGACCATGATGGCTCCAGTGTGTCTGCCAGATCGCGACTTCTCTTAACTGTAGTCATGGTTTCTTGCCTCTCCGCCAAATGGCCCACATCCCGTTGGAGCTGGGTCGATGAGAAGTTTTCTTGATGTCGTGCATATCTTTGTCCGCGTGCTATCAACCTTGGCTTGGTGAAAAAATGTGTAGCCATTCTCGCTTGCTGTTTTGATGGACTCATTGTGTCGTGTCACTGTTTGTTTCTCGTCTGGCGTTTTGCTCAAAGCGACCTGGGTTGTGTGATGAAAGCAAGTTGATGTCGATGTCGTCGTGCGTCCGCGATGTTATAAGCACAGCTTCTTAAATTCCTTAGTCGGTACAACAATTATTCTTCTAGACGGTGCCGCCAGCGGCTGAGGGGACAAGGGGAATCAGACATTGATACCACAGGTGGGTAGAAGGGTCGCTCAAGACAACAAATCGGGGATGGGTGCCCAAAAATGTCACAGATGCCGTTACAGGCAATGGGGAAAGGGGTCATCCTTGGTACACGCAAAGCTGAACGACATTTCCAGGACTAGGTTGTACTGGCAAACCGTGCCGTCTATACAAAAAGTAAGGCCGAGGTGTGAGCCATGACTGTGTCGGTTGCATTTCAACACTCATTATTTTTTTTTTTGAGGCGGGGGAGGCAGCAACAGAGGATGACCAACGGCGATCAGCAATCAGGAGCATATCATACCGGTAATGCACGGCCTGTCGGGGTGAGCAGATTACCAGCGCTACCCGACGAGCGTCCCTCTATGGGCGGAAGAAAAAACGGCTTGCTAGGAGGTCTTAGTTTGCTGGGCATCCGAAGCGGTGGCTTGTGACTCGCACCACGATGTGATCGTGTACGCGAGCTGCGCCTGGACATGGTCGATGCAGCTGAGGATATGTCCTGGGGGCGGTGGCGGCGGTGGCTACCGCCACGAGCTTGCTTGGACCGAGCTCGCCCCTGCTCGATTGCTCGTTTCCAGTTTTCAAGAAAGGTGCGCTGCATGGCCGTGATTTCGCGGCCATCAAGGTCTTTGAGTGCGTGAGACATGATGATGATCTGTCCAAGGGCCGACGGGCAGGCGAGCGTGCGTGAGTGCCATAAAGCAAAAAGTAAAAAAAAAAAAAATCAGAAAACAGACTTGGCCACCGAAATAAAATATAAAAACGAAGGAAAAAAACAAACAAACGTCAAGCCCTTCACGGAGCAAGCCGAGCACACACCTCCTCACGCCACTTATTCATTTCACAAAAAGGGTTGCCGTGGAGCGTTAGGGTATGAAGATGGCGATTGCCAGCCAGGACGGGACGCAGTTCCTGATTTGAGCCGAGACAATGATGTTCAGGTGAGGTGTCATGGGATTTCAAGACATGTCCACTACATGGTGGTACAGGGAACATCATGCGCGAGTCAAACGCACATGGAGGTGGGCGAGATGATTTCCACCGAGTCGCAGGGTCCTCAGCTTTTGAAAGCCGTGCAGCGAATGAAGGGAGGTGAGGCCGTTGTGCTCTAGATTGAGTACCTCGAGCTGGCGCTGCGTGTGTTGATCGAAACGTCAAGCGCGAGGAGTGAGAATGTCGTTACAAGATACGAGTTGAGCCGAGCACAAGCACCGAGGCCGCGTCTGACCTGAGCTGTGCGCAGCGACCGGGGATCGAGGATCAACTCTTCGCCTGGCGGTAGCTCTTGTCGTTCAGCATGGAGCTCTCGCAGCTTGTGCAAGTTATGTAGTCCCTCCAACACGACAAGACGATTGCCTCCGATGTAGCTGAACGAGGGCAAGATCGGCTGGTTTGAGGGCAGGCGAAAAGCGCTTGACTCAACACAAAGTTTGCAGCTCTGGCAAGGGTGGTACGTACAGTTTGGTCAGATGCGTGAGGGTCGAAAGGCCGTCCAGTCGCTCAAGGGCATTGTCCTGGAGGTAAAGTTGCGTGAGGTGGGCACAGCTGCGCAAGCCGCGAAGCTGCGAGAGATTGTTTTGATAGAGGTAGAGCACCATCAGTCGGTGACAATGCGCAATATCCCCCTGCAGTGCCACAGTCAAGAGAGCATGCACAGAGATGAGACCGGGAGGCCGAGACTTTTGCGGTCTTGTACTTGTTGGGGCCGGGGAGATGAGGGGAGCTCATAAAACAGTCTGAACGTACGACGGCAGAGAGGTGACGTTGGCTCAAGTTAAGGTGCGTGAGGCGGGCCAAGTATTGTTCAAGCGGTTCATCTCGACGGCGAGGCGTTGTCTTGCGACAGGCCTCCACAATGTGAAGTGTTGTGGCCATGTTGATGTTGAACGAACGGACGATGGCGGCGACAGCGACAAACACGGTAGGGTCGGTTCAGGGGACAGGGGACGCTGCGATGATCGCGCCTTCAGCTCCCCATTTTCATTTGGCAAGATGCACAGATGACCATCGAGCTTTCAGCTTCACAAGGAGTCTCAACTAGCAGCTGCTGCCCTTTGCTTTCCGGTTCCGTCGCGCAGCAGGCAGCCCTTGAGCCGGAAATTCAATCCCTCGCTCTCTCTCTCTCGGGGCATTCGGTGGGTTGCTAAGTTGCGCTACCACATGATAATACGGCCAACCAAGTTTGATGTCAGACAAAAGGTGTTGAAGCACAACTGTTATTGTGAAGGGGGCATAGACACACTGACGGACAAGCTTCAAAGCGTCGCACACGGTGTGATTTTGCGAGACGATTACACAAGACCCTCCATTTTGAAACACACACACACACACAGACACACACACACACAGAGGAAAGAGAGAGACAAGATCACAAAACCAAAGCAAAAGCCAAGCGCGAAACTGAGAGAGAGGGAGTCAGTCCCATCGTCATTCTCATTACTCTACTGAGGTAAGCTCCAAGCACCAACACCAACTGGTTCACTGGCTCGTGCGCGTGTGTGTGTGTGTGTGTGTGTGTGTGTGTGTGTGTGGGCAAGTCACGTGGCCCCTGATGGCAGTCGGGGTGGTCGGACGTGTGGGCGATGCTTGATCATGGTGTTGGTTCGGGGCCATGGCGTGGCCCTCATGGTGGCACTCATGATTCTTGGCACTTCCTTGTGTAGATTTGACGCGTGGGAGCAAGCTTTTTGACTCAACCAACAGCATGGCAGTCCCGATTAAGCGTGCGCTGGTGTCCGTCTTCAACAAGACGGGCCTGGAGGATTTAGCGTCTGCCTTTCAACAGTACGGCACAACCGTGCTTTCGACGGGTGGCACTGCCAAGAAGCTGCGTGAGCTGGGCGTGACCGTCGTCGATGTCTCTGAGGTGACCAACTTTCCCGAGATGCTGGGTAAGCTCCTCGTGCACGGTGTGTGGTGACTCAACGCAATCAAAAGATGCATCCCCTCACACCTCGCCTGGCCAATTGAAACTAGATGGTCGCGTCAAGACGCTGCACCCCAAGATCCATGGCGGTCTGCTGGCCAACCGCGCCATTCCCGACCACCTCAAGCAGCTTGAGGAGCATCAAATCGAGCCCATTGACCTGGTCGTCTGCAACCTTTACCCTTTTGAGGAGGTGTGCCTCTTGCCTCAACTGTTCAACTCACAGCGCCAGCTTGCCCAGCACAACCAAGAACGGCTTTGTGTGCGTGACGCCCATTTTTGCTTGCTGTGTTTTCTACTTAGACGGTGGCCTCGGGCAAGGACTTTGCCGGTTGCATCGAAATGATTGACATTGGTGGTCCCACCATGGTCCGAGCGGCCGCTAAAAACTGTGACAGCGTTGCCGTCGTGACCAACCCCGAGCAGTATCCTCGCCTGATTGAGGAGATGGCTGCCCACGACGGTGCCCTGACCCTTGAGACACGCCGTCGTTTGGCCCGCGACGCCTTTGTGGCAACCGCGCGCTACGACTCAGCTGTGGCCGCCTACATGTCCGACAACACGGAATCTCCCGCCTTCAGCAGCCGCCATTACGTTCAAGAGGGTGCCCTGCGCTACGGCGTGAACCCTCATCAGAACCCGGCCTCCTACAGCCGTCTGGCTGGCGGTGACTTTCCCTTCACCGTGCTCAACGGCGCTCCCGGCTACACCAACCTCATGGATGCTCTCAACAGCTGGCAGGTAAAGACCTCTTTGATCCCTCAAAATATACATGAAACCAACAATCGGAAGCCAAGCGATGTTGAAAACTGTGCGTCTGGCTCATCACTTGTTTGTCGCCTGTCTCAACGCTCCCCCTCCAATGAAAGCTGGTGCGGGAGCTGGAGGCCGCTCTGGGTGTCCCTGCGGCAGCCTCATTCAAGCATGTGAGCCCTGCCGGTGCGGCCATTGCCCGCCCTCTCACCGAGGCCGAGACCGAGGCTTTTGAGGTGGTTGGTGTTGAGCTCTCCGAACAGGCATTGGCCTACGTGCGCGCCCGTAACGCCGACCCCATGTCAAGGTACGACATGTCGGACTGGATTCCTCGGGCCCTGTCTGGCGTCATTGCTCACCCACGAACCCTTGAAACATAGCTTTGGTGACTTTGCTGCCCTCTCCGGCACTTGCGACGCCAGTACCGCCAAGATCTTGCGCCGTGAGGTTGGTGATGGTGTCATTGCCGCCGATTACACCCCTGAAGCTTTGGAAATTCTCAAGCAAAAGGTTCGTGCTCTGAGACTCAAGATGAGGAGAAAAAAAAAATAAGAAAAAAGAAAACCAGAAGGTTGAGCAAGCTGATTTGACGGCAACAGCGCGCTTGTCGTGCACATTGACCTGGCTTGGCTCGCCATTGGCGCAGAAGGGAGGCAAGTACCTGGTCCTCAAGGGCGACGTGAACTACGTGCCGCCCGTTGATGAGGTCAAGGAGGTCTACGGTGTGGCGCTTACCCAGAAGCGGTACGCTTTTCTGTGCCCAAGCCGTGTTCCCCTCCACCTTTTCAATTATGAACTCACCCTCTTCTGGTAATTTACCTCGATGCCTTGTTCTGATAGCAATGACGCCGTCATTACCAAGGACCTCATGACCAAGGAAATTGTAACGTCGGAGCAGCTGCCTGAGGATGCGCTGCGGGACATGGTCCTCGCTACCATTACTGTCAAGTACACCCAATCCAACTCGGTCTGCTACGCCGTTGGTGGCCAGGTGGTGGGCGTGGGTGCCGGCCAACAAAGCCGCGTGGATTGCGTCAAGCTTGCCGGTCGCAAGGTTGACACCTGGCACATGCGCTTCCACCCCAAAGTTCGCGCTCTGAAGTTCAAGAAGGAGGGCGTCTCGGTAAGCTGCTAGTCCTATCCGTGAGCAGAAATGTTGTCTTATTCCATCGCACTCCGCCCCCTTGCTACTGTACCGTGCGTCCCTTTGTCTCGTGGACGATTCGCGGCCCAAAATGGGGGCAAGATTGACCGAGTGAATTTTGCTTTTTGGTGTCGATGCCCTCCCGTGACCGTGCACCAGCGCTTTTCACCCGATACTCATCCTGGCTTGCTTGTCTCGCCGTGGTCGTCCAACAACTTTGTTCGGCATGCAGCGTCCGGAGCGTGTCAACGCGCGCGTAGCCTACATCAGCGACGACATGACCGCCAATGAGCGGGCGCAATGGATCAAGCTGTTCGAAGAGGAGCCCGAGCCTTTGACGGTATGTCGGATATTCGCGCGCAGCACGTGGAGAGTATCAATTTGGCTTGGAATTGTATTTTGCCATCTCTCACTTAAGCCCTTGGGCGTGCGGACATTAGGCCGAGGAGCGTGCTGCATGGTCCAATGAGCTCAAGCAGGTCTGCTTGTCTTCGGACGCTTTCTTTCCTTTCCGCGACAACATTGACCAGGCTACAAAGCACGGTGTTTCATACATTGCGCAGCCTGGTGGCAGCACCAATGATCAAGCCGTGATTGAGGCCTGCAACGAGTATGGCATTGCCATGGCTTTTACACGCGTCCGCGTCTTCCATCACTAGACGCTCCAGATGCGCTCTCTTTCTTCTTGGCTGGCTTGGACACCGGCAGTTGTCCAAGGTGCGGCTTGTCAAACACATTAGGATTGTTTAATCGTTATCGACCCTCTTCGATGTTGTTGCTCGGAATGTCTGTTTTTTGTTCCTGTTCCCAGCCTTTAACGTTGGGTAAACGCTTGTTTTGAACCCTACCATTCCCTCCGCTCATGTCTGATCGGACCGGGAGCACAATTGATGCTTGTCTATTGCACTGCTTCAAAAAATCGAATCCGCTCCGTGCACTTGGGAACTGCCGCCGTCACAAGTTCACACACTACAACTTGATTGAGCGCCACGCAGGGCCGGTTATCGTTTGAAGGGGAGGCGGGGTGGACACAGCAGTGGTCGCTGTGCTGTTCCACCAGACAGCACAACAAAGGAAAGGAATTGAGGGAAGGTAGATCGCCGCGTCCCGGTCTGATCGTTGGCAAGAAGAGATCGCCTACCCAAGGGTACGATCTTTGGCTCACACACAGAGGCCAAGATTACTAGACTAGGCCTCTGTGTCCTCCATTTCCTCAACATAGTTACCGGGGAAGAGGCCGCGCTTGCCGTTGAGAACACCTTCAAACCAACCATCGTCATTGCGATGCACAATTGTAATCACGTCCCCTTCGGCAAAAGTAAGTTCATCGTCACGCGTTGCATCGTAGGCGTACACCGCACGCGCTACAAGGAAATAACGGCCAAAGCATTCGCAAACACCGTGAGAGGCAAGCGCCAGGGCCGAGCACCATCATCAGCACCATCAAGATCTACAACTTGGACAAGGAAGGAAGGTTGGAGCCGAGATCGTACCTTGTGATCCATCAACGTGGACGGGGCCTGCATCGCCACTGCCAATGTTTGTGACGGTGCCATACAGGCCATCATCCGGTGGGGGGTCGCTGGGGGGGCCGGGAATATCAATGGTGGAGTATACATTGTCACCACCGATTGGGATGGCGGTGCCATAAGGGTTTTCATCCTCAATGGCGGATGCTTGGTCGACAGGGAAACCATAATCGGTCGGCTCATCGGTGGCCTGACCCGGTGGGGCCGGAGCCGCTGGTGGCGGTGGCGGCGCTGCGACAAGAGGCGGAGGTGGGGCCGGGGCGGATGGGGCTGCAGGAGCAGAGGCCATGGGAGCAGCAGGCGCGGATGGGGCTGTGGGCGCTACTGGAGCCATGGGAGCAGCTGGGGCGGCAACGGGCACGGCTGTTGTGCCATAAATGCTCTCACCCACACCACCGTAAATACTTTCAGGAACGCGGGGGATTTCGGCATACATGGGCTCGTTACCCATGCCCACAACCGATCCATAAGCGCCGCTGGCAGTTGAGTCACGTCGATCGGCAGGGCTCGGAGCTGGGGCTGGGGCCGGACCGCGTGGTGCCTGTGGCCGAGCGCTATGAACTGACATGGTGCGGCCCCCGCCGGCGACGAAGACACCGTGTCCAACTTTATCAAGCTCATCAAAGTTGATGAGGCGTCGGCCTGGCTTGACGGGCGTGGGCTTGGTGGGAACGGCGCGTTTCTCGTAGGGCTTGCCCTCTGGGCACGAGGCCGGAGTAGTTAAGCGAGCGATGGTACTGCGCCCGGCCTGCTCCTCTTGCATGGCGAACCGCTGCGCTTGCGGCCCAGCAAAGAGAGAGAGAGAGAGAGAGAGAGAGAGAGAGAGAGAGAGAGAGAGAGAGAGAGAATTGGGGACAGGATTCACGGCAAAACACAAATGGAAGTAGTTGGGCCAGATGAGCACCTCGAGACATTTGTAACAACACGCACCAAAAGTACACACATGAACACGACATGCGAATGAAGAGCCAGGCCAAGATGTCGGGCAGGAAGGCACGTACACGGACGGGTGTTTGAACCTCGGCAGCCAGCTTCTCAAGACGCACAGCCTGCACATCAAGGGTCTGCAGCATAGCCACCGAGAGATCATTGACCTGATAGGCCACACTGGCCAAAGCTTGGATTACAAAACCCTTGGCCTCATTGAAAACGCGGTTGGCATCTTGTGGGGAGGCCGCGGCGGCATACGACTGCTGAACATGATCGGCGAGCGGGGGCAGATTCTGCGAGCTCTTGCGCAGCTCGCTGCGCTTGTTGGGGATGTGCTGTGTCAGCAGCTGGCGCGAAGCATCGGCGGCTGACGTCGCCATCCTGTCCTACTCTTTGAACAAATCCATGATTCCCATCAGCGTCACTGCCACAATCCCCCACACCCGCACACACACACACACACACACACACACACACACATAGTGACGTAGCCCATCCATCACGCACCAGATCAGTTGATCCAGTTCGCACACGCTGCAAAGCTGACGCTCCTCCAATCCACCAGAGGCTCACCAACAGCCTTTACCACCACCACAGCCAAAACGCGGCGACAACCAGGCCACACACTGCCCGACCGACCGACCGAGAGAGAGAGAGAGAGAGAGAGAGAGAGAGAGAGAGAGAGAGAGAGAGAGAGAGAGAGAGAGAGAGAGAGGCGGTCGAAAGCTGAAATTGACTCCCAAGAGAGAGAGAGACAGACAGAGAGACAGAGAGACAGACAGACAGAGAGACAGAGAGACAGACAGACAGAGAGACAGACAGAGAGACAGAGAGAGAGAGAGAGACAGACAGAGAGAGACTGACAAAAGCAAGAGAGAAAAAGAGGAGGTCCACACTGGACTCTTTTGACTGACGGCAGAGGACATTTGGTAGCAGCACCTCGTTAGTATTTTACATAACACTGTAATTGGTCGTCGTAATGAAGTATTTTACTTTATTCAAGTAGAGGTCGGCGAATAAAGAAAAAGCAAGAAGAGGGCGACTGGGCATTTGGGCATCTTGGCGGTGTGGCGTCCATTCTACCGGTGAGAGGTTGGTGCAAGGCCATATTCAACAAACACGCCTTTGAATTACAGTGCCCTTGCCCTCGGTGATACCGGGACCGGGCCCGGTATCGCTGTCGGTTTCAGCTCAGCCCGTGAGAGCGCGTCGTCCAGTGCCATGAGCATGCTGGATATCCGCTGCGTGCTGGATGATGGCGAATGCATGGCTGAGCTGACCATCGATATCCACACCAGCTTTCATGAGTATCTGGTGCGTGTCAGCCGCTGGCAGCGCAATCGTGCCCGGCTTCGTCGGCTGACCCTCACCAACGCTCTACACTCGCCGTGCTCGCTAGCACATGTTTGCATCGGTCTTCGGCGGTCATTTTGACTCCTTCCGCTGTACGTCGCTTGGGAGCAATGCTTGTTAGCCGACCTTCTTGAGCATTTCGCTTCCCTTATGTGCCCGCTGCCACGTACGCCTATGGCTCCGATAGACGATGACGAGGAGGGCGACAAGTGCAATGTACACAATGATGCCGATGTGCAAAGCATGATCTACTGGGTATGTGCGCCGCTTCGGCTGCTCGCCCCTGGTTCTGCCTTTGTACAATTGCTCGGGCTCATCGACGTTCCTGTTTCAATTGGACCTGGCATTAGTGGCAACACGTGAAATCACGCTCCATGGACCCCGTTCTGGTTCTCCACGTATCGAGTTCTGCTGCCGGCGGCTCCAGCGCAGGGGCTCCTCTACAGGTACAGACGTACATACGGGCCAATATTATCTCAAAGGGTGTGCTGTCTGTGCTTGTGTTTAGTGCTGTAAGTGTGATGCATGACGCCCTACTCACCTGCATCTGGTGCCCAAATCAATACCGAGATGCAGCTGGACTTGACTCAAATGGGCCCCTCCAAGCCACAAAGGTACTTGAGGTCGCAAGTGGCGAGAGAAGGCTCATGTCATGCCCTTTCGATCCTGCTCTGCTGCAACTCGCTCAAGGGCGCTTGCCTCCTCTTGTTCGTGCGCACCACCGTCTCTCACGCGCGTTGTCTTCACCCTTGTGCACACTCAATGTCAATAGCATGTCATCTGGCCCCTCGCCCATCCTGGCTTCGTCACCAGGATCGGCTGAGGTGCGTATGCGTGCCTTGCCAAGCGTACGAGAAGCAAGATCTTGCCTGTCCGCGACCAACTCACGCCCCTGGGCTCTTGTTCCAACAAACTTGGTACCCCTTTTCAGATCCTTGCCCATCAGTTGACGGGATACCAGTTCCTGGGGCATGGGAGCTGCGGCACTGTCTATCGTGCAGAACACACGGTGTCTGGCCTCGCCATGGCCGTCAAGGTGGGTCCAAGTTTTCCGATGCACGTTCACGTGTCCAAAACTCTGCCCTCAAACGTTTTCATGCCCGAATCAGGTGATTGCCATGGGTATCTCCCAAGATGAGCAGGCGCAGATTCGCTCCGAGCTGCAGATTTTGCATCGGGTGCGTTGCCCGGCGCCCCACACGACAACTACCCAAGAATAAGCACTTATTCAACGCGCAGCTTGCTCATTCATTTCGTTCTCCTTCCCTTCCAACAGTGCCAATCACCTGTCATTATTGATTATTATGGCGTTTTCTTTGCCGAGGACAAGATTCACATTTGTACCGAGTTTATGGACGGTGCGTCCTCCCTGTTCTTCGTCCCTGCTTTGAGTTCCCCTGTGATCCAAGATCCTGGCTGAATGCCATGCCGATGGGTCGGCCGGCGCTCTTGCACAGGTGGGTCTCTTGATCGATATGGCCAACTTCCCGAGCCCGTCCTGGGTGTGATTGTCTTCCAAGTTTTGCAAGGTCTTGAGTACCTCGCCTCCATCAAGGTATGATTTGGTCATTGTTCAGCACCCTAACCGCACACGGCGTGCTTTTCGCTTGAGCCTCTCTTGTTGCCAGCGCCTCTGTGGCATTCCTTATACTCTTCTCACGTTTCAAACACCCCCTGTCTCGTCGTCTGCTATCCCTCTCGCTGTGTAGATTATGCATCGAGACCTCAAGCCTCAGAACATCTTGCTCAACACACAAGGCCAGGTCAAGATTTGCGACTTTGGTACGTGTCTAGCCCAACGTCCGGGGTCTGTTTGTTGATCCCTATGGCTTTCGGTTGTTCGGTTCTGACGTTGTGGACGCTTGGTGCGCCAGGTGTGAGTCGACAGCTGGAGCGGTCAGTGACGGCGACCTTTGTGGGCACCAACGCCTATATGGCGCCAGAGCGCGTGCTGAACCAGCCTTACGACGCACGCTCGGATGTTTGGAGCCTGGGCATCTCCACCTTTGAACTGGCTTGTGGACGGAGCGCGTGGAAGGCGAATGCCATCAACTTTCCCTTGCAAGTGATTCAGTGTATCGTCCACGAGCCGCCTCCTCGACTTGACCCTGCTCAGCACAGCGCTGAAGTCTGTGATTTTGTTGAGCGGTATGTGTTGCTCTTCATAACATTTCGGGCTTGTTTGCAGTTGACGGGGTGCTGATGGGACGGCTGGCATGATAGGTGCTTAATCAAAGACTACGCATCCCGTCCCAAGACCAATGAGCTGTTGATGCATCCGTTCGTTCAGCGGTACGCTGGCCGGGAGGACATCATTCTCGAGTGGATTGCTCGGTTACAACAAGGTTGAGCCTCAAAAAGATCTTGGGTTATCCCTGTACCAATGTTGGGGTGCGTGTTTGTTGCTTGTGAGTGACGTTGCTCCCCGATGCTCCTCCGTTGCCCCTCGCCAAGCGAGCAAGCCACGGAGCGAGCAGTCAAGTCAGTTATAATTGATATCCGTTGTTCTCCATCTGTGCGTCTTCTGACCGTGTCCAACACAAATTGCATGATACCCAGCCTATTCATCAATCTGATCAACTGAGCGTATTGTGTAGCACCGCTTGTTGGCATGACGGAAAAACATTGTTTGTGTGGTGACAGGTGAAACAGAATTCGCAATGCACAACATGATTGGTCCAGGAGGAGATTCAGCCAATTTTTTTGATCGATTTGTGGAATTTTTGAAAAACAGGGGTTCAAAGCACCTCGTGCCTCTCAACCATAAAAGAGCCGTGGTGCTCAAGCATGGCCACGCCCCAAAAAGTCAAAGGTCGAAAAGTGAAGCACTTAGGCCTTGATCTCACCGCAGTCGGCAATGACAATCTTGGCGCGGGTCTTGCCAGAGTCGGTACCGTAGGACTCGACCTTCTTGACAACGTCCATACCGTCAACGACAGAGCCGAAGACAACGTGCTTGCCATCGAGCCAGGCGGTCTTGACGGTGCAGAGGAAGAACTGCGAGCCGTTGGTGTTGGGGCCAGCGTTGGCCATGGAGAGGATACCGGGGCCGGTGTGCTTGAGGGTGAAGTTCTCATCAGCAAACTTGGCGCCGTAGATGGACTTGCCACCGGTGCCGTTGTGGTTGGTGAAGTCACCACCCTGGCACATGAACTGGGGGATCACGCGGTGGAAGCTGCAGCCCTTGTAGCCAAAGCCCTTCTCGCCGGTGCAGAGAGCACGGAAGTTCTCTGCGATATGATCCCAAAGACAGCAAACGAAACGAGTGAGAATTAATGTATTGTGTCGGTCGGATTGCAGGGTCAAATGTGTCTGGTATGGCAAGAGGCCACATCGCGAAACAACAGAAAACAAAAAAAAAAACAAAAAAAACAAAAAAAAAAAAGATACACGGACACACACACACATATGCAAAACCGAAACGAGCCACTGACAAACGTGAAGAAGCAAGCGTGACTCACCGGCAGTGCGAGGGACAACGTCAGCGCGCAGCTCCATCGTGATGCGGCCCAGGGGCTGGGAGTCCGCGCTGATGTCGAAGAAAACCTTGGGGTTGCTGTACACCGGCAAGGCAATGAACAGTTGTCAGTGACCGAAGATAATTGACTGTTGCCAGAGACACACACCACTGGCAACCTCTTGACTCGAAACGAGGCAAACCAGCCAGACCAACGACCTCCATGTCTCCAATCCCTCCCCTCCTCTGAATATCGAACTGATGCACATCCCGCAGTTCAAGCGACTGCCAGTGGCTGGCAGGAACAACCAACACCTCCAGCGCCGTGCCCTCAGTCACACACCTCATGATGCTGTTTGAAGAAGCGAGAAGAGAAGAAAGAAAAATGTCGACATCTAACAGTAACCCCAATGGTCAATGGTGTATATCAAGCGTCAAGGGGTCGACAACAACCAGCACCTGTTACGTGGGCGGAAGGGAAAAAGTTCGACACAAATCCCCCAAGCTAAGCTGTGTTAGTGTTAGTAAGCTGTGGGTGTTGACTCAGATTTTCCTTGGACATTGTGTCACATGTCGACAAGTTTCCCGACGCTGGGAACCTTCGGTTATGAGCCTCAAGCTTGTTTCCCTAAACTCTCGACGTCAGGACAGGAAAGTTGTTTACGACACGTTTGAGCAGCGTTCTGAATCATTATAGGAGAAAAAGTATGGCTAACGCAATAATGATTTTTGGGTTGGTGCATCGCCAAGCCATCACCTTTGCAATTTTGTGAATCGTTTTCGAGATGAAAACGTGTTGACATTCAAAGGCCATACTCCTATTCTTAGGACTAACGACGTCCTATAAATAGCCTACCTGGCAGCGCTATTTTCTTGGCTCTTCTTGGAGGTGGAGAGGAACGTTACACACACGATTACAACCTCCAGATAATTGTATCTGACATTAAACTTAATGCAGCGCACAAGTCCTTATCAAGGGGTAGCCCAGCATGAATCAGACCCAGAAGATGAAGGCACCAGGTCCACAAAATGTACCCTTCCTGAAACAGCCTTTTGGAAGCGAACAGCAACAACAACAACAACACGCGACCGGTAGTTCATTTGACACCAGCTCAAAATCAAAATCGGCTCGAACATCAACGTACGTACGCTTGCACAGGAGCGGCGCGCGTGCCTGGAGAACGGGGCGGGGTGGGACACGGTGCATTTGGTACGTGCTTAGAGGCTTGTGAGCTCATGTTTGTCTGGCATCACCAGGTAGCTTGGGATCGGAGGTCGGACGCCCATTTTGAACCGCCATCATGGTGCACACGAGCCAAGTGTACTTGCTGGATTACGGCGCTGGGAACGTCCGCAGCGTCATCAACGCCGTCGAAACGCAGGGCTTTCAGCTCAAGTACATTCAATCCGTTGAGGACTTTGACAAAGCTGACAAGATCATCTTCCCTGGTGTCGGCGCCTTTGCCAGCTGCATGGCCAAACTCGAGGCCCTAGGGTAAGAAACTTGCGCTGCCACGCCCACACAGTTTTGGATTTCACTGCGAACACGCGCACGGGCATGAACCGTGAGCGCGCTGCGCTTCAGCTCGCCCCCAATCTCATCTACTTGTCTGGCATTCGGTGGCTCACAACCCTACGCGTGTGTTTGCAGCTACGTGGAACCTCTCCGCAAGTACATCGCCTCGGGCCGCCCCTTCTTCGGTGTCTGCCTCGGCATGCAAACCCTGTTTGAGGCCAGTGAGGAAGGCGAGGGCCTCATCAAGGGCCTCGGGGTTGTCCCCTCCGTCATCTCCAAGTTTGAGGTTCCGGGCCTGGCTGTGCCTCACATGGGCTGGAACGTGGCCACCGTTTGCAAGCCCAATCCCATTTTGCCCCATGACCAAGAGCGCTATTACTTTGTGCACAGCTTCAAGGCCATGCCCACCGAGACCATGCGCGACTGGGTCATGACCACGACCACCTACGGCGTGGAATTCGTCTCCTCCATCTTTCTCAACAATGTCATGGCCACGCAATTTCACCCGGAAAAGTCGGGCACGGCGGGTCTTCACATCTTTCGTCGCTTTCTCGAGCTCCCAGATCTTATCACCGCCCCCGCCTACCCACTCGCGGACCCTGCTGTGGGCTCGAAAGCAGGTCTTGCGCCCCGCGTTATTGCCTGCCTTGATGTCCGTGCCAACGATGCTGGGGACCTCGTGGTCACCAAGGGCGATCAGTACGATGTTCGCGAAAAAGATGATGCGGGCGACGTGCGCAACCTCGGCAAGCCCGTCGAATTGGCCAAGCGCTATTATGAGGAAGGCGCCGATGAGGTGACCTTTCTCAACATCACTTCTTTCCGCAACTCGCCACTCAAGGACCAGCCGATGCTCGAGGTACTTGGCCTGTGCTGCGGCGACATGCACCCGCCTGCTGCATTTCGTGAACCTGCCCTCACCCCCGATCGCTGCTCTGTCCACGTTGATGACCTGACCTGGCTCCTATCGCCATCTGGCTAGGTGCTGCGCCAAACGTCACGGGAAGTTTTTGTGCCGTTGACCATTGGCGGTGGCATCAAGGATATTGTCGACCCCGATGGCACCGCACGCAGCGCTTTACAGGTTGCCGATGAGTACTTTCGCAGCGGAGCTGACAAGGTTTCCATTGGCTCGGACGCAGTGCTCATTGCCGAGGCTTACATCGCCAGTGGCATGCAGACGGGAAAGTAAGTTGGCCACCACAGCTTCATGTGACATGTCCCATTCCAAACGCAGCGGTGCCTGCGAAGAAGCGACAGCGAACGAGCTACCACCAAGCGACACCGAAAGCAAAGCTGGGTTTTCATTTTTTTTATTGTCTGGGGCCCTCTAGATCGAGCATTGAGACAATCTCGGCTGTCTACGGCAGCCAGGCAGTCGTCATTTCCGTCGACCCCACGCGCGTTTACGTACAATCTCCCAGCGATGTCAAGGTGTGATGCTACCTGCCGGTTGTTCACGTCGGTGCTGCATTGTAGCCATGACATGATATCACCCTCATCAACACGTCGGCACCGCTTGGATCAACAGCACCACACCATCAAAACCAGCGTGCCCGGACCCAACGGCGAGAGTTATTGCTGGTACCAGTGCACAATCAAGGGTGGTCGCGAACGCCGGTACGCACACAACACAAGGCGATAGAGCCCGTGTACCGAGGGAAAGTGAAGGTCATGCAGGCCTGCCTGTATCCTTTCCAAACCGTCGACGCCTTCCCTGACGGCAAATGCTTGCGCATCACGTAGGGACCTGGGTGCGTATGAACTGGTTCGAGCGTGTGAGGCGCTCGGTGCAGGTGAGATCTTGCTCAACTGCATGGACAAGGACGGCACGAACAGTGGCTATGATCACGGTACGTACAAGCACTTACCCTTGGGCCCGATTTAATGATCATGTGTGTATGCTTGATCAGGTTGCTGCGCTGCCGCTACCACTCATCATAAATGCATGTACAGAGCTCATCTCAGATATTAAAAAGGCCGTGGGCATTCCCGTGATCGCCTCCAGCGGAGCTGGGCGCGTCGAGCACTTTTCTGCATGCCTGCGCGAATGTCAACCCGACGCCGTGCTGGCCGCTGGCATCTTCCATCGCCAAGAAGTACCCATTGCCGCTGTCAAGACTCATTTACAGGAGCAGGGCTTTGCCGTCCGCGGTGCTGCCCTCTCTGCTTAGGCTTGATTAGGTTGTGCAATGAACAGCATCTTTGTCATCTTGGTGGTTACTTGTGTTTGATGATTGTGAGACTTGTTGTTTGTGTCCAGCCTGACCAGGGTCCTCGGGTGTCTGCGTGCACAAACGTGTCAAGTGTCGTGTGTGTGCGTGTGTGACTGTGTGTGTGTGTGTGTGTGTGTGTGTGTGTGTATGACTGTTCATGATATTATTGATAGCTAGGCCCCTGTTTAAATGCCAAAGCCAACGCTGAATAGACGAGGCAGGGATGTGAGCGAGCCGAGCGTGAGACGGTAGAACACAGCGACAAAAGTCAAGGGAGGGCACGGGACGGGAGCAAGTAGATGGACACTGGGAATGAATTCAGGGACAAGACATGACAGAACCAGGGAAGAACCTTGAAGCTGCCAAGATGGGCTCCAACCGTTGATGGGGTGTGCTATCATGTGCGCAGCAACTGCGGGCACATGCAGGCGCGTGGTCACAAGCACCTGACCGTGACCGTGTTGACCAACCCCCGACGGTCCTGTCACACAATTTGATGGGACCCGTGAGTCAAGCCAAGCATCTGCATGCACGTGCTTGTCATTGGTGGCCCAACAACTTGATAATCGTGCCGATTGTCAGACAGAATTACGGATAGTATGGGACGGTTTACAGAACCAAGAAACAAGGCAGGACTCAAGGTCACACACACTATACACACACACACACTCTCTCTCTCTTACACCCGCTCTTCACACACACACACACACACACACACACCCTTCACGCACACACCCAAGCAGTGGCAACTGCCGCCTTTACATGCTGACAATGAACGTTGCTATCCATGACCGACGCGTGCCGTTTCGCTCTCTCTTCTCTCTCTTCTCTCTCTCTCTCTCTCGTATTTGACGCGCCCCCCTTGCCCCCCCACCCCACCCCCTGACTCTACTCGGGCGGTTTAGGCTGGCTGCCTTGGGGGAGACGGAACGTGCCGGCGCCTGACAGGGGTTGCAACACCCCTTGTAGAGGGTTGACCCGCCGTCCGTGAAGCATTTTCTTCCTTCGGGTTAACAAGTCAACCTAGACGCTGGCTACCCTGGACCGTCTCTCACCTCTCCCACGAGACCCTCTGCCGCTGCCTTGCCCTCGCGTGCAGACACACGCCCTGACCCCTTGGCTTGACTGAGCTTGATACTGAGCAACTCTTCTTTTGCCCAAAGCAGAAGCCCCCACCATTGGCATCTGGCATCAACGCAGCGATGGTCCGTTCTCCGTCTCCTTGCCCTCGGTCCTGCCCTCGTCCACTCGATGTGTCAGCATATCCAGCCATATCCGCTCCCCGCCTCACTCCAACCCCAAATGCCTTGTGTGACCTCAGCCAAACCTTCCGCGGCGCGCCTCCCGCTCAGGGCCGCCCAAATCACCGGTGGACTGCATCGCGCCCCGGGATGCGCTACTGGCTTTTGGCAATCTCAACGTTTGTGATTTGA